AACTGGGCCCCACTAGATGACACCACCTGTCCAGTTTAACCAGGTGAAAAGGGATTTTTGATATGGAATTTTCGCACAGTATACTGCGAAAATGGTCGTTGTGGATAAAGAAACCAAATGCCGTCCGCAAAATATGAGAGGCATGAATCGTGAAGGGTTGATGGAAAAAAAGTTTCTTCTGAAAAGCACCTGAAAATTTGCCCACCCCGAACCAGGCTCTCCTGGCATTTTGTGTGGTCGAGTCCTACGGATAATCATATAACCTAAAAATTAACTACAAATATGATTCAAAAGTGCTCTTTTAGGATTCTCATGGTAATGTCTGTAAGTGCACCTATTTTTAGCTGTGGCACTGGAAAATAAAATGAAATGTTTTTTCCCCTTAAGTAAGAAGTTGTAGACGACCACACCTTGTGTATCGTGCATTACTTCGAGACACACATATTTCGTTTGATGGGTGGGTATATGCAAGCTCCCCCTTTAAAAAATTGATTGATTGATTGATATGTGGGGTTTAACGACCCAAAATCACCATATGATTATGAGAGACGCCGTAGTGGAGGGCTCCGGAAATTTCGACCACCTGGGGTTCTTTAACGTGCACCCAAATCTGAGCACACGGGCCTACAACATTTCCGCCTCCATCGAAAATGCAGACGCCACTGCTGAAATTTGAACCCGCGACCTGCGGGTCAGCAGCCGAGTACCTTAGCCACCCTATAAAAAAAGGGGCGGTGACTTGTAGATTACTCTGAGAACGTGCTTTATTACGTGGACATGTTCACCATTGAATGGATTGGTGCATGGATGCTGTGAGCGTCCCTTTCATAACTAAGTGGTGAAATGTGGGCCACTACAGGCTTGACGAAAAAAACAAATCGTTGGCCTAATCTATTGTCTACTTAGGTTAAATCGATGTCACTGTAGAAAATAACGTAAATCCACAGCCCAGTTCTCTGCCCATTTACGGCAGACTGTCCTTATTTTCCCGACAGTTTATCTTTTTATGTTTTCTCTTTACTTTCCTGTCAGCAGTACCGTTACCGTGTGCTAGTTATTTCTGTCCCGGGCCTGTTCAGCTTTCCATTGTTGCCATAAAACCTGACGCTTCATGTGGGCTCGTGTCCGAACTTACACCTACGGGATATCTCAACACTCACCAAGAACATCTTACGTCGATTTCTTTGCTTCCCCACAGCATTTTCATTGTTGTTCTTTACTGAGTCTGGCTTTATATCTTAGCGTATAACTAAGCGTTCTAAGGCAACCTGACCTAACTTGAAATATACGTGCTTCCCTTTGAATCTGCATATAACGCCCCCCTCGCCCCCCAATTTTTGCAATATTGCTTGCGTATATGTATTCACACACATACAAAGGCGCTCACGAACATACGTAAAGTACGGTTGAACATTCGACCCCTCTCCGAAAAAAATTGTACGCTAGTGCCCTACCCCCCCCCCCCCCCCCATTTTTTTCATTTTTGCCATTTTGGTAGTTATTCAGACCATTTTTTTCATCCCTGCCCTTCAGTGTTTACTCTCCGCCTCTCTGACTTTTGGCCTATTTGTTGTCATATCGCTTACGCTGACAGCGGTAGACAGCTAGTTATTTTTCTCAACTGTATGCAAACGCTTTTTCAATAGAAAAAACGGAAAACTTTCTCTGCTCATATACTCTCTTTCATATTCCTTAGCCTCTCTTCTAGCCTCGTGTTGGTCTAAGCACCCCTCTCTCAAAACTTTTCCATACCATAGCGCACTTTCCAGCCTCATTAGCTGTCTTCCCATGAGCGCCGTAAGCTAGGCGTCAAAGTTATTCAATCGTACGAGTTGCGAAAGCCCCCTTACCCTCCATGTATCGAAATCCGGACACGTCATCGGTCCAGTTCTTGGAAGTCAGCAGATTGTCGCGCCACCTGTTGATACCCACTATTGAACGGATTATTTGTCTTCTGTGTCGTGACTTCCAGATGGTGTGACACTCTGCTAACTCCCAAAAAACCGGGCCAACTGCATGTCCGGGTTTCGGAACGTAGTTTCGCAACTGGTCATCTTCATCATCACTATCCTCATCTGCCTGACTTTGCTCACTGCAGGGCAAAAGCCCCACTGACGATCCGCCAAGCAAGTTTGTCTGGTGCCTTCTACTGCCACGTTTTACCTGCGAAGTTTTAAATCTCATCAGCCCCCCTAACTTTCTATCTCCCAATCGTGCGTTTGCCTGCCTTGGGAATCAAGTTAGTTACCTTCAATGACCAGTGGTTATCCTGCCTACGTGCTACGTGCCCAGCCCATGTCCATTTCTTCTTCTCGATTTCAACTATAAGTACTGGTAAAATACAGATGTTGTATACATTCCTCTTGACGGTTAGTGATAGATTACCATTCATGATTTAAGAATGCTTGCCGAATGCGATCCACCCCATCTTTTTTATTCTAGTTATTTCACTCTCATGGTATTGGCTGCGCGGTTACTACCTGTCCTAAGCAGGCATACTTTTTTACAACTTTCAGCGTCTCTCCACCCACCAATCGCATAGTGCTGTTTTCTGCCGAGACTGTTGCACTTTACTTTAGTTTTGTGCATATTATTTTTCAGACCTACTTTTAAGCTTTCCGTATCCAGTTCAGAAATCATGAGCTGCAATTTGTAAACAAACGACAGACTTCGTAAATTAACTACTCTGGCGAGGCTTTTTGCACTACTTTGATTCACCTCCATTCCTGATTGCACCTCTGACCTCATGCACACCACTGAGTGCCCAAAAGTAGGCCCCGGATCCATTGAAAGGAAACGCATGGCTCCATCTCGTGACACACTGGGCATACAGCAATTCAGCATTCGTAGCCTCTATGCATGGTTTGATGGATGTGGGGGTGTATGAACACTATAGCGGGTTATTTTTTAAAAGGCTGGTCAGTTTTCGAGCAATCGAGGAATGAACCTGATTTCGGCGACATGTGCACCTCCTTACTGGGTTTCCCTCGCGCGCAGCGGCAAGCAAGAGAAAACCACGTCAGGCACCATATTCAAAGTGGGGCTTCAATTTCAAGTGGACGTACCACGCCTTCTCGTGACACCCGGGGGATACAATGATTCGGCATTCGTTGCCTCGTAGATCAATGTACTCAGAAAAAAAAAGGGAGCAGTGAGTTTTTGCTCGCTATTTTGCTCTATCTTACCAGGCAGTTTCTAAACTGGACGAGTAAGTTGCTCAGGAAAACAAGCAACTATTCCAGCCTGTTTCTGTTTCGTTCCGCCGGAGGAAGAGCTTGCGTCGCAGCATGGAATAGTTGTACGTCGTTCCCAGGAGCTCTCGACAATTCGCAATGGGGAGTGGGAGTGTTTCACGAATAGTGGTGGTTTAAGAATTAGTGCCTGTCTTGCAGGAGGTAAGGTGGTAGGGTGGTGTAAACAGTTTGAAGGGGTAGGATGCGGTTGTTGCGATCCTAACGGGGTGATGCTAGGGGGTCACTCGATCCCAGGTAAGATAAAAAAAAAAAGAGGTATCTTGGTGTTTCCGAGTTTCCTCGTAATTTTGTCTCTTGTGCGATTATGACCAGATAGCGCACATTTGCATATTGTTTTGAAATAAGAAAATAATTGAACAAAGAAAAATTCAAGAAGCATCGCCGGGTCACGACGACCGTTTTACGAAGAGTGTGTTTTCGTGAAGTCGAGATCATGCAAACAGCGACGCAAGCTTTGTATCAGAAATATTTTGCGGCGTAGCCCACATAGCAGTAATAGAGAAATAGCCCACTTGATCTTCTCTGATTCTGGACAACTTAACTCATTTTCAACATTCTGGCAAAACGTGATTATTTCGAAACTCACTCGTTTTTTTATAGCGCTATTTCTATTTCTGTTCATATTTGCAGCACTGACAGTCCCGTATGTGAATGATTATTCCATGAATTTTCATTTCTGTTGTAATTTTTAAAGGTATGAATTTTGTTGCCAGAAACAATAGAAAAACAATACTCTTGATTGATTCAAAAATTCATAATAAATGGAACTAATGTCTTGGATGCTAATCATTGCACTTTCTCAAGGCCTTTTCTCATCATATGCCACACTTTCCCAGAATCGCAAAGGTTTGTGTAGAATTCAAGGTCTCTTCCGTAAAGGAAACGAGCTTTTGGAACGCAGTCATCAAAAGGTTGAGTTTTGCTGGCATAAAATTGTACATTCTCAAACCTTATACCATTAGCAGTGTTTAAAACTTGTCGGTTACGTAAATCTCGATGGCAGTACTTTTGACAACGGACAAAGCATGCGTTGCGTGAATATCACCTTCTTTGTGTTGGCAAACATATCGTGACGGGATGCCTTTTACGGGAGTAAAAAGTTTCCGCTACTTTTTTTTTTCTAGAAGCACTCAATCTCGCAGATAGGTCCACTGATAGGGATAATTTTCTTCGGCTTGTTTAATTGCGCAACCACTTCAATTGCTGACGCTTCACAAAAAACCATTTAGGTGAGGGCTATCTTCTAACACTGTTATTAATTAAGAAGCCACAAACGACGACAGCGCCAACCGATGAACACTGCAACGAAACCTGAGGACCACAGCCTTGTGAACATTGTCGATCAAAAAGCAAATATTACGTGTATATGAGGCCCAACCCCACACTACTACGTAAGTATTAGTTCGTGTGTTCTTTTAATAGAAAATACATACATACTTAACTATATAGACAATAGTGTTATTTACACTACGTTGAAACTGTGACGCAATGCACAAAAAGCCCTCTGCTGACGATATGGTGCTTCCACCTGGCAGTGGCCCAGGGTTCTGCACAAGCTCCGGCAGAAGAATATTGTCGTTCGACGAGATTTTCAGTGTAGCACGCCAGTTAAGAGGCCATTTTTCCCTTTTTTCTCGAAGGAGTTCTGCCGACGTCCTTGTTTATGGGTCTAATATGAAAAAAAAATGTGGAGCCGCTTCGCTGCATGTAAATTCCAACAGTTCGATGTGCTGTATTACTTTATTCTTACATCACACCGTTGTGGAGGCCGGCGAGCCGTTCCATGTTGAGGATGTTGGCAGCGTGGACGTGCCGCAGGAACTTGCGCTGACGTATGACTTGCTCGGGGTCCGATCTGCCGCTTCCATAAGATGCCATCTTAGCGTGCTTGTCCTTGACAGCCTGAGAAATGTAGAGGAGGGTGAAGCGTTAAAGGCAGCTAAGGGAGTACGCTTAATAAACCGAGGCATTCTTTGCCTTCTTTTCTTTTCTTTTCGGCCGATCTCTGTCCTGTGTAGACAATGACTTTGTTGACTTTCATGAACAGCGATTAGACGGCACGTAGAAAAGCTGCGTCAAAACAGGGCGCTTACGAACAACCACTAGTTTATTTCGGCGTACGGGAATGTGCACCCTCATGAAAGCAGATAACTTTTTGAATTAAAATACCAAGTATTGCAGGGCACGCTACGCAGGCGTCTGGTAACAGGGCTGCGGGCTCTTCTTGAATTTTAGTGTACGCCAAGAAGCAAACATTAAGATACTTCTTTGCCCTGCTGCTCTGTGTGTATATGGGGCTTGAGCAGTAAAACTTCTTGTCATCACGAAGCTTCATGGTAAACGGCGAGACCACAGAAAACATGCTTCGTCCTACAAATAGGTCGATTGCAACTTTCCTAATACTAATTTACTAAGAATGTTACCTCGACGTATCTTTCAAATGGAGGCGGGAAAGGAAAGCCTCTAAGCTATCTTGGACGTGGTTGTCGTGCTTCTTTATTCGTGCCTGAGAAGTTGTTATTGGCAGAAACTTGTCTAAGCTATCGTGAACTTTTTATGTCATGTTCAAGTTCAAGATTCAAGTTTTATTCAACAACGATGTTCGTTTACAGAAAAGTGCGTACAGGATTGGTAATACACACAAGGAGCCCAAAAGTTAGAAACTGTCAGGGGGGCTCCCATACATGATGTTAACGGGAGAAGAAACAAAATATACAACATTCAGTTGTTACGGTATCTTCAGTAAGAAAAAAAAAGCACAGTGCGAAAAAAACGAAAGTAGAAAATACATATATGTTTAGCAAGGCAAAAAAGAAAACTCTGAAGAACAAACAAACGCAAGTTATAATACAGAACGTAAGGACAATATAACATGCAGCAATTGTTATCACAACATTAAAAAGCAGTTGCTAAGATGAAGACAGCTATTGCAAAAAATATTTCTTTATTGGTTTTTGAATGCATGTTCTGTGGTTGATGATTTTATTACGTAAGGAAGGGAATTCCTCAGCTTGAGTCCCGTAATGTGGTAGCGAACTTGCCGTAGTTTGTGCGAACATTAGGCGGAAGGCGGTTATCGAGCTCAGAAAACCTAGTAATATTATTCTTTACAAGGCTTTCCATGACAATGCCATCTATATGCACATTACCGCGAAAAAGCCTATACATCACAACTGATAACTTCAGCTGAAAGAGGTGATAAAGAGGATGTATATTTAAATTCTGATGAAGTGGCGTTGCATTGGTTAAGAAATGGCTGAAAGTCATGAGTCGAAGTGCTTGATTCTGTAGGCGTTGTAGTTGGTTGAGGTGGGTCAAATATGTGTTACCCCAGGTTGATATGCAATAAGATAAATGGCTGTGAATATGTGCGTGATAAAGGGAGTGGATTGTGTGTGGCTGAAAATATGAACTAGTTTTGATTATGGCGCGTATTCTAAAGGTTGTCTTGTGAATGAGTGATTGCGCGTGAAGATTGAATTTCATATGCCGGTCAAGAACCACACCGAGAAACGTTGTACTGTTCGGACATAGGAATTAAATTGTCGTCCAGACGCACAAATATACATTTTGAAAGTACAGTCAGGAAAGGAATGAAGAACTATAAAAACGGTTTTTGACGGATTAATTCTTAACGATGTTCATTGGACACCAGGAACTTATATTATGTGGATCCACGTTAATGTTTCGTTTTAGCTCATCGACATTATTTGCATAAGTAAAAATGGTCGTGTCATCTGCATATAAGATACAGTCTGTTGCGGTCAAAACATTAGGTAGATCGTTAATAAATAGCAAAAAGAGCAGCGGGCCAAGGATCGAGCCCTGAGGAACAGCTTGATTTACTTTCTTAGCTGCTGAAACTTTACCGTCAACCTGAACAACTTGAGTGCGATTGCACAGATATCTACATATAAATTGAAGTGCAGGGCCAGTTATGCCATACGATTCAAGTTTATGTATAAGAACTTTGTAATTAATTGTGTCTAAACTTTTCGTTAAATGTATGAATACGCCACCAACTACGAAGTCTTGGTCGATTGCCCCTTTTATTTTATCGGTGAGGATTAGAAGCGCAAGCTCAGTGGAATAGCCAGGCCGAAAGCCGTACTGTTTAGATGTCAACAGATTAAACTTTGTCAAGTAGGATATTAATCTTGTATGCATAGGACGCTCGATCATATTGCTCAAAAACGGAAGAATACAAATGGGCCTATAATTACTCAGAAGTTCGCGATCACCTTTTTTGTGAACAGGTGTGATTCTACCAACTTTTAGGGAATCGGGAAATATGCCTGCTTTAAACATCTTGTCAACAATATCTGCAATGACAGGAGATAGCTCACTGGAGACTAACTTGATGTGAGATGAATGAACTGAGTCAAGACTAGGTCCCGTGGACCTGAGCGAAGTTATAACACGAAGAACTTCCTCTGCACTCGTAGGTCGCAAGAAGAAAGAATGAGGCTGGCGAGGTAATGTTGGTAATGGGGGATTTCTCAGAGATTCACAGGTACTGCTAAAATACACCCTGAACGCATTGGCGATATCAGTTGAATGGCTGTATGTTTCTGTTTTAGTTCTAATTTTCGTTATCTGCTCATGACATTTATTATTTAAGAATTTCTTCATGACCTGCCAGTTGCGCCTCGTATCATTGCCATTAGCGAAATTTTTTTTCTGAAAATATTCTCGTTTTGCACATTTAAGTGGGGCTGCAGGTAGTAATCATCTCATAATGTAGCTATATTGAATAAAGAAATACGAGCACAGAAAGAAAATTTGAGGAGGTATATCTGCACTGCCAGTTACCGGCTTAACACACTCCTCCATCCCAAGTTGAGTGTAACTAACTGCGGTCACCTCCTGCAGACCTCTTCGCCTTTCTTCTATTCTTTTTCTCTATTCGGACTGACAAGACACTAGCCCAACAAGAAGCATACATAATCTTGATCCTCGTAGCGCAGTGTCATTCTTCGTATAGGTAGGCTTCCTTAGCTTCTCACTCATTTTGAAAATATTTAAGGTGACATGCTTAGATCCCTCACTAAACTTGAAATTTGACCATCGGCTGCGACTGATTTACAGCGTGGCAGCTTGGGCTAGTTGGTATATCATGACGATAGTTATATAGTTATACAGCGTCGGGTGTGAGTGATTCAATTAATCATCATCATTACATATGGCGTCACCATTCAACTTCGTCATGGTGTCGCGTATCGCAAAAGTTTCTTTCGTCATCATGGCATCACAAATTATGGTGTGACTTCATGTTACGTAACGGCCACATGATGCCGTTACGAGGTCATTCAAGGCAAACGACACGTCTTTCTTTGCGATCAGGCATACAGCATATACCTAAGTATTCGTTTCGAAGAAGAAAACCACAACAGAAGCATTGAAACTGCACAATGGCTGATAAGGCTCCTGCAAAGAAAGGCAGCATCCAATCACGCGTTCCCGGCGAAGATTAGGTTGAAGTTGCTTCGCACTACACACGCGGGCTTCGAATTTCCGTGCTTGCGTTTCCCGCTTTCGTATATGAAAGGGAGACCCGTTGGGTAACTCATTCAGTTCAATCAGCACGGAAATCGAAGACACCAGGAGCACAGCAAGAAAACAACGCGCAGCGAAAGGAACAAATTAGTCTTTGTGAAGATGGTCGTGAAACAGCTTCGCTGGAAATTCACTTTTTGGCATGACCGTCAATTTTTAGTGAAGTATACCTAATGAAATACAAATCAGGATGACATGGATCATGCATCAAAGCCCACCGTATACATACCTGGCGGCTTAAATTTTTAGAATACATTCCCTTTTGCACGGAAACCCATATCTGAAAATGCGCGGCAGTTTTCGAAAACAAAGCGCATACCTCTATGATGGGCCAGTTCAGCTGGAACTCGATCATGGCTCGCAACCAGTCGCCGAAGCCCACGGCGGGCCACTTCTTGGAACCCAGGTGGAAGTGGGCGTAGTTGCACTGCAGTACCTCGAAGTCGCTGAAGCGCTGGTCTCCCGCCGAGCGCAGAAGCAGCTCGGCCGGCGGACACTCGGTCACAGCAACGTACTCGTCCAGGAACTCGGCGGTAAGGTCCCTGAGAACATGCAATTTGTTTGGCACAGAGCGCAACTCTAGGTCACTGCCCTACACTCCACGGGCAGTCCGCGACACTCCTATACCCGACACTTCTCTAATCCGCATAGGGCTCCTGTCGTGGTGGCCTTGTGGTCATGACGCTCGAATGCGAACTCGGAGGTCACGGGGTTTTTGATGGAGGTGAAAATACTGGAGGTCCGCGTACTTAGATTTAGGTGCACGTTAGAGAACACCAGGTAGCCGTTATTCCCAGAGCCCTCCCCTGTGGCGTCTCTCATAATCATGTCGTGACTTTCGGAAGCGAAACTCCAACAATTATTATTATTATTATTATTATTATTATTATTATTATTATTATTATTATTATTATTGTTATTATTATTATTATTATTATTATTATTATTATTATTATTATTATTATTATTATTATTATTATTATTATTATTATTATTATTATTATTATTATTATTATTATTATTATTATTATTATTCAAAGTGCATGTCTCGCTACGTAAACTTAACGGGAAAGGGCTTCAGCGTGTCACAATAATTGGGATGTTAACTGTTTACCGGACGAAGTGATTCTTTCCCAGAACGCTTGTGCCCGTGTCTCAGTATTTTCAATTTGTTTTCCTGGAAATCCTGGGAGCTGCCGCTCCCTCCTTTGCGGTGATGCTTCAGGACACACCTGAGAATGTTCCAGGCGTGCAACCGTCACGCCGGACTTCGTCGTCCAGGAAGCGTAGCAACGCGTCGAGCGACACCGACAGTGAGGCAACCGATTTGTACTCGGACGGCTTTGAGTCATCGGATGATGACTTCATGGTCGTCATGAATCGATCTACAAAACGAAGACTGCTGCGGACGGCATCGTCGGCAAGTGTTTCCATCGTTAAGACTGCACCACAGCGGTGGCCGCACACCATGCTGTTTATGCCCGAAGACCTGCATCTAACTTGCGGCTCCTCAACAGGCAAGTTCTTTCTGCACGTGCTTCTCGAGGAAACCGCGCCGAATGAGATCAAAGACGTGAGGATCAATGCACGAAAAAATTTCCTTGCTGTAGACGTTATGCACCGTAGCGCACTGCAAAGCCTTCGGCACATAACAGAAATCGGCAACGTGAAAGTTCGGCCAATGGTCGCTACAGGTTGTAATGGCGCTGTAGGCGTTATTTATGATGTGGATCTTTCCATCTTAGCTAATGACCTGCCAATACTAATAAAGCCAGCGACTGAAGGCACCCGCATCACGCACATTACCAGACTCGGCAACTCACGCTGCTTGAGGCTTGTGTTCGAGGGAGACAGCCTTCCCTCGTATGTCAAAGTTGGCCATGTTCGCCACTCAGTGCGTCCTTACATACCGAAGCCACTGCAATGCTACAAGTGCTTCAAGATGGGACACGTAAAATGTGTCTGTGAGAACAAAGTTGTGTGTCCGCGGTGCGCTGAGTCTCACTCAAAAGACACCTGCAGTGCCACCATGCTACGATGTCCAAACTGCCACGGCGCTCATGAGGCCTCATCCAAAGACTGCCCGCGGGTGCGAAACGAGCACGCGGTACTCAGGCGTATGGTGCGGGACAATTCAACGCACAGGGAAGCTGCCGCTACAATACGCCGACGACGGCGTCGTGGGCGAAGACCATCACGGAAAAATGGCTCTACAGATAGAGAGATGTCATCCTCTATCAAAGAGGCTGACCCACAACCACCGAGCTCACTGAAGACGGATACTGCCAAACAGAAGAAAGGGACAGCAGTCGCGCCTTCCGAACAGTGGCCCTCTCTTCCACGAAGTCAACCTACTTCGGAGCTGCATCAAATTCCGCCGCCCTCGACGACCCCTCAAACCAGTGATGCGATGAATGAAGATCAAGTGATAAGCTTGCTGCAATCGCTGATGAGTACCATGCGTGTCCTACTGAGCAATATGAAGACTTCGGCTGCGCAGACCGCACTGCATGTGCTGGACACCCTGAGTCCGGTGCTTGCAGTTCTAAGGTAAAACCATGGCCAGCGAGGCACCGTCGTTTCGAGCGGAAGTCAAGAATGCATCTGTCTTTCAGTGGAACGCCAGAGGACTGAAGTCGCGCATGTCTGACTTTAGACAGTTTGTATTTGTGAACCGCTTCCCCATTATCGTGATCGGTGAACCCAACTTGTGTGCTTCAATCAAGCTGTCAGGATATGAGTGCTTTATGTCCTCCACTCACAGAGACTGCAGCAAAGTTATTGTATTCATGCGCCATGACCTCACTTACGTTCACCACAGAGTCTCGCCTGATGAAGGGAATCAGTATGTGTGCCTTACTGTGAAGAAGGATAAGGTTGCTTTCACGATTATCGGATCTTACTTATCTCCATCAAGCCGCCTTGACTGCGAGTGCTTACGCGGTATTCTGACATCGACTCCAAGGCCATGGGTGATCACTGGCGACTTCAATGCCCACCATTTCCTATGGGGAAGCTCCAGGGACAACTCTAGAGGAAGAAAATTGGTGTCCTTAGCCTCGGAGTACGAACTCTGCGTTTGTAACGATGGAAGCCCTACATATTTACGCGGATCAGCCTATAGCAGTCGCCTGGACCTTACATTGGTTTCTCACTCACTTACCAGGAAAGTGCACTGGTTTTCGGATCTGGAAACGCGGGGCAGCGACCATATACCAACTTACCTGTGTATAGAAGGTTTCACCAGCTCCAAGTCCTCAAGAGGCCTCAAGTACACCGATTGGCCGAAATTCAAAATGTTAATGGAAGACTGCTGTACCGACGGCTCATCATATAATTTAGAGGACTCGATAAAGGATGTCCTGCAGAATACCACGCATACACATTTGACTAGTCACAAGCGCACCGATTTCGACATCGAGCTTGAGAAACTTCGCGCAATACGCCGTCCTGCAGAACGAAGGTACCGACGGACAAAGTGCATGGATGATTTGAGGCTGGCTAGACGCATTCAAAAGAAAATGCAGCGGCACATGGATAAACTGGCTTGGCGACGTTGGACATCCTTTTGCGAGTCGTTGGATCCACGAAAGCCCTTATCACTGATATGGCGAACTGTCCGGGGTCTTAGCACAACCTTGGGTCAGCGACACCCGTTTACATCTCTGGCACTTCACCTTCGATGCAGAGAGATTGACGTCGGAGAACCTTTCTGTAGAAGAATTGCCGGTGATTCCAATTTCACAGTATCAAGAACGGGAACACTTGACAACACACCGCCCTCACGTGATCCCCGTATGGAATACCAGTTTTCTATGGATGAGCTAGAGGCGGCACTGGCTCTGTGCAGACGTTCTTCAGCACCCGGTCCTGATGGCATTACCTATCGTGCCCTTTGTAATCTTGGAGACGAAGCTCGGAAGGCACTCTTACGCCTATACAACGAGTCCTGGCAGACTGGTACGGTTCCCCAGGCATGGCAGTCAAGTCGCCTCATTCCACTTCTAAAGGCTGGTAAATCTCCCTGTGATATTGCCTCATACCGTCCTATCGCACTTGCCAGTTGTGTGGGAAAAATGATAGAACGAATGATTCTAACACGAATGGAGTGGTATTTAGAGCACTACGAAATCTATCCAGTATCCATGACCGGATTCAGGCGCGGCCATTCGTCAATCGACAACGTTGTTGATCTGGTGACATATCTTCAACACCAGAAAGCCTGTAAGAGACTGTGCGCCGCCCTGTTTCTAGACGTTAAGGGGGCTTACGACAATGTCACCCATGAAGCCATCCTTAGTGCTTTGGAAACAGTAGGTCTTGGTGGCAAGATATATATGTGGATGTACAGCTACTTACAGCTGAGATCATTTTACTTGATGACAGCGAATGGCCCAACACCTGATTATTACAGCAGCCGAGGAGTTCCTGAGGGAGGAGTGCTAAGCCCTACCCTTTTCAACCTAACTCTCATTGGTCTAGTCGAGCAGCTACCTAGCACTGTAGAACTTTCTGTCTATGCTGATGACATCTGCATTTGGACATCAGGTGTGACAAGGCCTCAGCTTCGTGCCCGCCTTCAGAAGGCTGCTACAACGACGTCATGCTATCTTCGTAAACAAGGCCTCGAGGTGTCCTGCGGAAAATGTGCAGTGGTAGCGTTCACGCGGAAACCAATGTCCGCTTGCAGTATATCGATTAATGAAGAATACGTATCGTTCAGCAGAAGCCACAGGTTCTTGGGAGTCATAATAGATAGAAACCTGTCGTGGACTCCAGACGTGAACTATGTGAAGAAGCGGCTGATCGCAACATGCCACATGTTCAAATTCCTTTCAGAAAAGAATTGGGGAGTGCCCATACCATCCATGCTACAACTGTACAGAGTGCTGTTTATCGGATTCTTACGGTACAGCTTACCTGCAATATCTAACACCGGCAAGACCAACCTGCGCGCAATTCAGAGCATTCAAGCCCAAGCACTTAAGATATGTCTTGGAGTACCCCGCAGTGCTTCAACGGCTGAAACCATTGCCATCGCTCAAGATCACTCGATAAATACGCATATTATTACCGAGACAATGCGCATGCACCTCAGGCATTATGCCAGGACCCCTTCCAACCACCTGGGGAGCCTAGCTGCTGAAAGGCCCCGCACGACATACGGCACTATTGTCTACAAGCATCGTTCATCGTTTGCTGAGACATACGCACCTGCATCAAAGCCACTGCTTCCTCCTTGGAGCTTGAGCCGGCCGCGAGTTCACTTAATGATTCCAGGAATGAGTAGAAAATCGGACTTACCGACACATGCCCTGAAACAACTGAGTCTATTCCTACTGGAAGAAAACTACAGTAACCACGTGCACATTTACACGGATGGCTCTACTACGCCGTCTAGTTCAGGTGGAGCAGTGGTTATACCATCACAAGGGGTAACTCGGTGTTTTAAAACTTCACATGTGACAACTTCAACGACGGCAGAACTCGAGGCTCTGCGCAATGCACTGGAACACATCCATTCAGAAGAAAGACCAGGTAAATGGGCTGTGTTTTCTGACTCAGAACCAGCGTTACAGTGCCTGATATCAGTTCTCCGACGCGGATGCCACGACCAGTTGACCTACGAAACCGTGAAACTTCACCACCTTTTAATACAAAAAGGCCATGACATCGTCTTTCAGTGGTTACCTGGGCATTGTGGTATCGGCGGCAATGATTCCGCAGATCATGCTGCTCGCACGTCACATAAAGAAGCGAACAGCGTTCCGATTCCGCTTTCAAGAGCGGATGCGGCGAGGCATATTCGTCAACTGGCCCGCAGTCTCACACTGACTGAGTGGAACACACCAAGCATACGACGTACACGACTGCACGAGATCGACCCTTCACTACAACTCCGGCCTCCACCCGGCCTACATCGACGTGCAGCTTCGCTTCTCTATCGCCTTTGGCAGGGAGTTGCTTTCACGAAAGCTTATACCACGTTAATCGGAATTACTGACAGTGCGGCGTGCGATGTTTGCGGCACCGACGAAAATATCGAACACCTGCTGTGCCATTGTCCTCGATTTGCCTCAGATAGACAAGTACTTGCCAACGCAATGCGGCGACTGGATGATCGGCCTCTTTCAGTGCAGGTGCTATTACAGCAACGTACACATGCCTCGACAGCCCACAAGGCAGTGAAAGCCCTGCTGTGTTTCCTGAGAAAGACAGGCTTGTGTGAACGCCTCTGATATGCGGTAGAGTTCTACACGCTGCAGTGAAATTACTGTCAGTCTCTCCCCCACACCCTTTTTTCCCCTCTCTTCCCTCTTTCTCGTCTTTCTTGTCCCCTTCCCTAATCCCCCAGTGTAGGGTAGTCAACCGGATGTCTTTCTGGTTAACCTCCCTGCCTTCTCTCTTTTTGTTGCTTCCTTCCTTTCTTAACTGTTTACCGCGTAAGCCAGACCATAACCGGAAACATTTTTTTGCGTTGGGAAAGGAGAGGGTGACATTTTGCATGTCTATGCGCGTTTATCGTATGCGTAAGGGCACGCATGTGCATACAATATATCAAGATTGCGGAAAAGGTAGTGAATGCCGCCAAACCACCCATCTGACCCGTGGCAACATCAGAGCGCAAAACGAGACATTCACAAGAACGAGATGCACGGAATGTTTCTGTGATTGTATGGTTTCACGCTCGAATGTCGCGAAACGTCACGTGGCATCTGACTGAATATGAATTTTTGGTAAATCTTCAAGGTTTCTGACCATCCACCCGAAGAAACGCCTATCGGGGACTGCTATAGAATAATAGAATAACATCTATCAGTTCAGACATACCTCAACGGTTAGGTAAATTAACAGCAAAATACTTCGAACCCTTAACCTTGGCCGCGGCGGGGCGCACACCACGTGCACGAACACTCGCCGTAGAAGTCTGTCGGCGACTATCCCGTGGCATCCCCTGGTCCGTTCTTAAAAAAGTTCTTTCTGGCATCTGGAAAGTGCGTATGGCCGTCTTATAACGTCCCGCGTCGTCGTTAGTGGGGTGAGTAGATTCATCCCTATGCGATTACCACAAACCTCTGAGTTCCCTCTCCTCTGATGTAGTGGGGCCCATAAAACGACGCCCAAATGTTGGAAAGCATGCTTGCAAGGCAGCTACTTAAGACGTACGATAGAAAATTGTTCATTTTGATTTTTGATGATAATAGTTATATTAATTTTCTGGGATTCACGTCTGAAAGTCATGACATTATTATGAAACGCAAACAAAGCGTATGAGCAAAGCGTATAAAAGAGAAACGTAAAGCGCAAGTCTCGCCTTCGTACAGCGAATGTATGCGTTAAGGTTCGTATTCTACAAAAAGGGTACGGCATCTATAACGTGAGTTTCACCAAATGACTTTTCAAACCCTATCGCGGTTGATTGTTACACTACAAGGCCTCCTAATTATAGCAGGGTACTAATTTAGATGTATGGGGCATTTTCTCCTCAAGGTCGAACGCAAGTACACCTGCTGCACTAATGCGTGCGCACGCCAGGCTGACGTCATGAGCAGGGCGGTCGGTGATCTCTCCTTCGAAGAACAACGCCGAGTGTACGAGCGTAAGTATTACTTTAGTCGCATAGGCGATTGGCTGCCGCACTTCGGTCGTCTGGGCGAGGCTTCTCCGGATTTATAATTTGCGTACGACTCTAGCTTTGAACTCATTTACGATTACTTACTCGGTGTAGATGACTCCTTCTTTAACGGCCGTGGCCAAGTGCCGAGCCATCCGAGACATCTGGTACGTGGTATTGTAGGCAGCACACGACATTTGTGTTCGGAGGCTGAGTGAAATAGAAAAAAGAAAAAGTAATCAAAATAATCTACTTATGCCGTTATTTACTTGCTCGCTCGCTGATGCGACGAATGGTGTCCTGAGTTTGAGGTTTCAGGCAAGAGTGGGTGACAGTATACAACAGTGAAAGCACGCACGCTCACACGCACACACACACGCGCGCGCACACATGAACACACGTGTGCGCACACACGTACACAAGCACACACATGCAAGCACAAATAAATCTGCCGAAGCTTACACTAAGCCACGCAAAGTTTGAAACAGCAAAACTCTACTACTCTGAAGATTAATCTGGTTGCTTCTATAATAGCTTATTTCTGACCCTTAAGCAAGTGACACTAGGTTGTTTCTAAATTTATTCTTAGCGCGGAGATGTTCGAGTTAAACCAGGGGTCTACACACGATGCGGATTTCCAAGCTGCAGGGACATAAATTCGCACTGGAACCAAGCGTTCGAACCCCTCATAGATCTGCGGGCACATCTTCGTTTCCCGTAGGGCTTCCATCATTTCGGTATCTTCTTCTGCCAGCCGCCATTTTCTTCCCCATTCCCTAGCATTCTCCCATTGTGCATACCGGGGTCTTCGGATCGCTGCCGTCGCTTCGCGGTCATTTGTTGGGCTAAATGTTCCCTTTGTAATGAAGAAGTTCTAAAATTTTAGTGCGCCAGTGGTGAGGACTGGGAGTTACGTAACCTCCACAGAACATAGCAGTTTGATGATAGTTTCATGGTATACGGCTCACGGCACATGCCCGAAAGCCCACCAAAATTGCATCTAGCTTAAACAACTTCGCTATTAAAAGATTTACGACCCATATGAACCTGTCTTGAATGAAAGCGAAAGTCGTCTTAATTTTCTTCCAAGCCGATTGTATTGCTTCCTTCCCCCGATTGCTTTCCGCACCTCAAGTCGTTTTACGATGCCTCCGGAATTGGCCCAGCTTTGACCGAGAGGCGATGTGTTGTGATGGCGCCATTACGTAACGTCACAAAGTTTTGCGACATGTGACGTCTTGATAACATATTGTGACTCATTTTTCAGGTTGCCATACCTCGCATCAATTGCGTCGACGTCACCGACGGTGAAGTTTTTGCGACTGAAGAGGCCTCAAAACATCTCGGCTTAATAACAAAAGTTGAAGATGAGCAGTTTCTGAAAGGGAAACAAATTGAATGTCGTCTTCAAGGCACAAACGTCTTCTGGCTAGATAGAGGCGGAGGCTGTATAAATGTAAAATACGGCCGTTAATTAGTAACGAGTTTCGTAAGTACACGGTTGAGTCAACCGGTCGCTTTGACGACATCGATTTCATGACTAGAATGAGGAAAAAGCTGTCGCACAATCGAAGACATTGGCTGGCTGCATTCACGTGATTGCAATTTGTTAAAATAGGTATGACCGAAAGTGTTACTGTCAGACAAATACTTCGCTTGTTCTCTGTGGCAATGTTACGCGGAATCCGTGAAACAACGAAAGCGAACAGATCCGAGTGAGTCGTGCGAGGAACCTATACAACTCCGCTATAAATGTTAGCCAGAGGATGTACATACCTCTGGCGCGCTCTTGAACGTACGGGCACGTGCGATGACGTCACACTTACCTCTTCTCACGTATGCTCGACGTGGCGATCTCAGAGCGAGCCAGACTAGAGCGCAGTTCCTCGGGTAGCCGCTCGAGGTCGCCGCAAGCGCAGGACTGCATTCCCATGGCGCGGAACGCGTCTCTGGTTGAGAAAGGAGATAGCGTGATTACCGGGCACAGACAAGAGTGCTTAACCACCCCAGAATATTGCTGTCAGATGGCGTTCAGATCATGTAAGTAAGAATTATGCTTAAAAAGGTAATAATTATATTTTACGTGTCAGCGTAATGATCTGATAATGAGGAGCACTGTTATTTAAGCCTCCGAATGTTTTTACCATTTGGGTTCTTTGAGCGTGTACCTATATCCATAGGTGTGCGTACGGGCAAGGCGCAAGGGGGTGGGGCACCTTTGCCAGTGCTCTAAGAGGGGGCTTGGTGCAAAGCCTGCCTCCATACATCGGATTATTAGGGAGGGGGGAGCGTAGTCGGCCCTTTGAATAGAGCTAATAGAGAGATGCACGCTGTGACGAACCTTCGCCCCCACTTTCATCAAGGGGAGCCCTGCGACGCCTATGCCTATATCTAAATGCATGATCCTCTAGCATTTCATCATCCTTATCATCATCTTCATTATTATCATCATTCACTGCCTGACTACTCCCACACATGGCAAATGCCTCGCCCATGTTCTGCCAGTCAACCCGGTCCTGTGCTTTCTGCATGCTTCCACGTTATACCTGGAAACTTATTAATCTTATCTGCCTACCTAGTTTTCTTTGTCCCCATCACGCACTTGTCTTCTTTAGAAATTCAGTAAGTTACCCTTAAAGATCATCGGTTATCCTATCTACGCGCTGCCTGCTCGGCCCATGTTCATTACTTCTTGATTTCAACTATGATGTCCTTAACACCCGTTGGTTCCGTGACCTATTCTGCTCTCTTCCTGCCTCTTAACGTTACACCTAAAATTTTACAATTCATCGCTCGCTGCGTCGTCTTCGATTTAAGTTAAATCCTGTTTCTAAGCGTAAAGGTCTCTGCTACCTAGGTAAGTACTGTTAAGATGCAGCTGTTATATACGTTCCTCTTCAGGGTTAGTGGTATACCATTTGTGGTGCGAGAATGCTTGCCGAATGTGCTCCACCCCGTCCCCATTCTTCAAGTTCTTTCGCCACGGAAGTAAAATAACTATAGCGTTTCACCTCCGACGAGATGCGGCCGCCGTGGCTTACGATTCGATCCCACAGTTTTCTGGCCGGATATTGAACACTGTCACCACTAGACCACCACGCTTGGTGAACGCATATGGAGCACATTAGGACTAAACCCATAGTTTTATAGCTAACAAATAAGGCTTTATGAGCTGCTATGGTTTAGGGCGTCGGTTCTATTCTCGATCTAAGCTTCCGCGCTTCATTGCAGGCGAAATACGAGGACATTTAGGTGCGAGTGCCCCGCCGCGGTGGCCTAGTGGCGGCTGCTGGCCCGCAGGTCGCGGGATCAAATCCCCGCTGCGGCGGCTGCATTTTCTATGGAGGCGGAAATGCTGTAGGCCCGTGTGCTCAGACTTGGGTGCACGCTAAAGAACCCCAGGTGGACGAAATTTCCAGAGCTCCCCACTATGGCGTCTCTCATAATCATATGGTGATTTTGGGACGTTAAACCCCACATATAAATCAATTAGGTGCGAGTGAAGGAAATCCCTGGTAGTTAACACTATCACCCGGTGTCTCCCACAGCTTGTTGCTTCATACTCGTGTGTGGTGTTGCACGCAACAGAGCAGAATAATTGCACTTTGCGTCATTAGAAAAGAACGTCGGCTGCGCACACAGTGCCCTCATATGCGGCTCAAATGTGGCTCGGAAGGCGCGCGAAAAAAAAAAAACAGAAAAACGGGAAGTACAGTGCATGTGCGGGCCAGCTGGCACGCCCTTCAAACTGTTATAGCGCGAACGTTAGGACAGGTGGACAAAAGAATACGACACACACAAGTTTTGTGTGTCACAACCTTTTTTCCGTGGTCGCTGATGTTCGCGCTACGGCAGTTTCACTGAATATATGCAGAGATATTTGCGAAGTACGTTACATCGGCCGCACTCGTTTCGACAATGCTGGAGCGTTATTGCAGTATCGTTTTCATTGTCAGTTAGGGATTGCTTTTAAATAACCAACAAATTCATACGAAGACGGCAATTTATATATGTGCTATGCTAAAAGAAAACGAAGTGTTTAATTAAGCTATTTACAGATAGAAAGGGAGGAAGTGGTTCTGCAATCATCTTAGTTTTCTCGGGGTCTCTTCGTACTATTTAATCGTATCTTTCAGATCTAAGAGCTCTTACATTCCCGTTCCATACATGACCGGCCCTGCCACAGGTATTCAAACAAGCTCCTTTCCATCACAAAAGGCTGAGTACTGCATCATCTCGGCAGGTTTTCCCTAAAATTTCTCAGTACTCTATTTTCGAAGCAGAACAAGCAAAAAGTTATGAACTCGGCAATTTCCCACCCAACATGGTTGGGACGCCCCATTTCCTTTTACCTTTCTACGCTGTCGACTGTTCTATAGACAAGCGCTTTACTAACAAATCATACGGGAGCACAATGTCGCGTACAAAGCATGTGTAGCGCTCAACAGCAAGCGCCAGCGAATCGACATTCTAATTGAATTTCCACTCACACATTGTCCACGATGTCGACGTGTATCTGATTAGCCTGATTCAGCGCGGAGGTCATGTCGAACGAGTTGCGGCCGAAGTTACGCACGCTGAACATGAAGACGCTCAGCACTTCCACCCCGGCCCGGAACCACCACTCGCGCACCTGCAGAAAAGAGAAACAAATTGAATTTACTAACAAAGATAGATACCCTGCACTGACAGTAATGAGAACTCCAGTGCTGTGCACGTGATTGTTGCTTTACGAGTATTAGTACCTAGCAGGATCATTGATCGTTCGATTGCTTTTTTTTATGTTGTGGGGAAGAGTCGATCTCGTACCTGTGCAGGCCTTGGACTGATTGTGCATTGCACATTTGTTCTGTCGAACATTTGTTGTGTTGTTCTCTTCCTACTGAATTTCTGCCAAATTTTTAACACTTTTGTCTTTAGAATCTGCCTTGCACACGTTATAGGTAATAAGCAGCCAATTACAATTAACATCCTTTTCGCAATCAGCGCATAAAAGGACAAACAACAAAAAAACAAGAACGTGCACGACTCAAGCGCTGCCTAACAACTTAAAGTTTAATTGAAGAAAACTTGTAATTATATATGCAAACATGAAGGCATAAGAAACCTTTACACCCCTATACCAAACACGTAATCAAGTATGCTGTATATACGCAATCTCAGCATCCGTGAGAGCGATTGAAGGTGGCTCACAGAC